AATTTATCGATCAAAATCAGAGACAACAAATTCTGTGCCAGCTCATGGCGCTTATTACATAGCAGTGCCGTAGGATGAAAAGTTTGAAAATTAGTTACAAATTTTCAGAAAATGTGTTATTGGACTGCCGATCTGGGGAGCAACCTAGGGCCCTCTATATATTCATGCCCATTGTAGGCTGCATCCCCGATCCCCGAGACTTCGTCTTACTTTCGTCTGGTTTCCACTCTCTCTTCATACCAAGTTACTAGCTAGGTAACAAGGTAATCGAGGAGACAGTTTTCAACGTAACAACGATTTCAGCCGGTTCGGACAAATCTTTATTCTAACCATTTGAACAACAAATCAGTGCACTTCCATCTGTACGCGCCCTCACACACTGTTCTAAAACCAAAGTTAACTTTATAACCAACATAGTTTATATAAACAAAAGCTCTAAGAAACAGATAGTAAACAAAGTAAACATTTCTGTCCCCTAATCTTTCTCAAACAAAAGTCATGCAATTTGCATACTTCTCCATTTAACTCTATTCTGAGCAATTAACGTTAAATAGTTCAAATCACATAAATTATTTAACGATAATTTTCGGACACTAAGGTCGTGTAGAATCAGTGAGAAAAGGTTTGACTGCGGTCTTCCACGCCGCCCTTGAAGCTGTAAGGTGTTGACAGCAAAAACAAGCGACGAATAGGCAGGGCCATCTGTAGGCCCACGCAGTACATGTCCGAGCATCCTCCACCGACTACGAGCCACTTTAGCTGACAATGGTTCGCTATTGCAGCGTTTATACAAGTTCTTGTTGGAGATGATGTGAGGGTATTTGTAATTCAAAATTGATCGCAGATGACGTCTGTGAGCAATATCTAGTTTTTCCAATACTGATTTAGGGGCAGCCCAGCAAGATGAATTGTACATTAAAACGGATACTACCAGAGCCTCATACAACAGAAGCCTCTTGCTCAGAGGGATCTTATGGTTCCAAGCTTTCTTGTATTTGTTAAACGCGGCATATCCCAGACATATCCTTCTAGAGATGTCCTCCTTACTACAAAGCATGGAGCCAAGCGTGATACTCTTTCTCCAGAGCTCGTTCCCTGCAATTGGCTTACCCTGATCGTCTTTAGCTCCCTTTTCAGCTAAGTACACATGAGTGAAATCAGTTTTGTCTTCGTTAACGAAGAGATTCCAATCTTTAAGGACTTCTGTTGCAATAGGCAACAGCTCCCTCAGATTGTCTTCATCTTCATCATTGAAGTCGATATCATCAGCATACTCACTGTCAAGTGGAAGACCAATATCGGTGATAGGTGGGTTAGGCCTATTCGTTGCAGTTTCAAGCCTGTTACGGAGGTCACGCAAGGCACCCGCTAAGACAAGTGTGAACAAGCATCCAGACAGACAGTCACCTTGGAATGCACCGAGAAAACTCTGGAATTCAGCAGACAGTGTACCGTTGATGTTGACTTTGAGCTTGGTGTTGGAAAGCAAAAGTCTTACCAAACGGACTTCGTCATCATCACAGCCACACTCAACAAGAAGATCGAGGATGGTAGATCGTCGTATAGTGTCAAAGGCACTAGACATGTCGATCCCCATGCGATGGTATTCCCACCTCTTCCTCTGGACAACTGATAACATCACACGCTGGCACCATACAATGTCAGCACATGATCTACCCTGCTTGTAAGCACATTGCCATGGACCAGTGAAGGCATTGACTTTATTCTCAATTCTCTTCAAGGTTGCCATTGAAAGAATCTTTCTAACAGCATTTGAGAGAGTGAGGGGTCGTAGATTCTTCACTGGACCAATGGGCTTATTTGGCTTCTGTAAGGGGGTAATGTTTGCCTGTCCAATGGGGTCAAGGTAGGAATTGGTCTCGAAGCTTCTATTGATAATGTCTGCAAAACGTCTGTGTACTGATCCAGTAGAATACTTGAGAAGCTCATTAGGAATCCCATCTGGGCCGTTAGCTCGACCATTTTTGAGACTTCTAGCAGCTGATCCGATTTCTTCACTAGTGAATGGCTTAACTAGTGGGCGAGGAGGTCCTACAAAAGGTTCTAAAGGTGCTTCATCACGAGTAAGTTGTTGCTCAAGGTACTTAGCAACTACGGCAGCTTTACCAGTGTCTGTTGCAATATTGCACCCTTGCTCATCATGAACACCAATACTAGAAGGGGCTTTACTTTTAGGTAAGTTCAGGGTTCGAACAGCTTCAAACATTTTCTTACTATCTGTTGTTGAACTGATGGTATTACAGATAGCATCAGCAGCAGCTGATCGTATGTTAGAAAGTCTCTGCTTGATCTGATTGGTGAGGCAGTTAATAGATGATCTAAGTGAGGTTCTGTCTAAAGACTGGTTATCATTAAGCTGCTGTCTCAACAAGTAACGCTGGCTAGATAAGTTTTTCACCTCATCATCGTCGCTGCGATTACGTTTCCTGTGTCTGATGACACCAATTGACGATTTTGCAGCATCCTTTATGGACTCAAGTAAGCCATTCAAGTCTGAATTTGGATCCAGAGCAGAAACAGTGTTACTTAAGTTATCATCTAAGGATTGACGATATTTCACCTGAATGGTGGGGTTCGAGGTGAGTTCAGAGGTGTTGAACTTTAAGGATGACTTGGAGTGGCGTTTATAGCAAAGACAGATGTCCTTAAAATCTACTCTAGTGACAACAAATCTGTGATCAGAGTATGTCAAGGTACCTGCATAAGATCTAGAATCTTGTAGCATTGGCTTCGACCTACTTCGACACAGGATGAAATCGATCTGAGAATAGACCGGGATCGTCTTTTTACTATTTCGCCCGGCACTCCAGTCCTTCCTCCAGCCAGTGTAGGTGGTCGTATGTCGGGCAGGATGATAAAAACCAGTGTTGGAGGCAAAGAGGTCAAATTCTGATAACAAGTCTAACAAGTTTTCTCCCATATCGTTGCGCAAACCCATACCATGTTTACCCATGAAACGACCAAAACCAAAGTCCTTATCTGAAGCAGTCATTTTTCCCAACTTTGAATTAAAATCTCCCAAAACAAATATCTCAACATTAGCAGGGACGTTTAGAGCGTCCCTAACTTGGCCATAAAAATTAATCAACAGTTGTTGATCATTTTCTGCAAGTTTCTTGTGTGGCCCATATACATTGACCACCCTACATTTGATAAATTTTCCAGATTTTGTAGGGAGTTCTAGGTCCAAAAAGCTTACTCGATCACTGATACTGTTCCAGCATACCACATAGTCAATAAATCGGGGACTGATAACAAAACCGAGTCCATAGTGCCGGCCATTTTTCTGCTCAAACAATAATAGTTTGTATCCGTTGCTAAGACTGCAAGAATCCGGTTTTACAACCTTAGTCTCCTGAATAGCGCAGATATCTATGCCGTACCGTAGACAATCGGTACCCAGTTGCTCCCGTTTGCTGTGGATGTCGTCTGGATCATCACAAGAACCGAGGCCACGTATGTTAAAGGTGGCGAAGCTGATGAGGAGTGTAGCAAACAGGGATCGTCCTGCAGCTGAGGTAAACATTACGGAGGGCGATGTTGTCGTCTCTCCGCCGCTGGCGTTACCCATACGGTCCATCCACCAACATAGTTTACGAAACATTTACTTGTATGTACTGTTACACCTAATCAACCAGCCAATTTCACGCTATTACAACTCCCTGCAACTCCCCTGCAACTCCGAGAGCTCTTAATTACGCCTTATATGGTGCGTAATTAATAGCTCAATATCACACGCTATATATCCAACCAGTAAACGCGCTCAATCGATATCTCGTGACTGTCACGTGACAGCTATCCAAGGAAATTCTCTATATGGCGCCTCCGGTGTAAACTAGGAAAGAGCTAGTTTGAGCCTTAAATAGGCGGGATATTTAATATTTATTATTAACTTCTACCATCACCCAAGCAGGTGGCGGTGGAGCTGAAAGTTAGCCTGTGTGAGATCGCTATTCCTGCGATATCAGACAAGAGCACGCTTCACACATTCTGACGAGCCTCCCTTTACAGGGGGACTCTTATGGAATTGAAGTAAAGAAGTACTTATACTTTACGTGTAACAGATGGTTAGCCAGGTCTGAAGATGACGGAGAGATCGTCCGGGAGCTGATCGCTACGGATGAAAACGGAGTGCCTATAAGCTCTGCAGAAGGTGGGCCTCTATTTGAACTGTGTGGGGTTCAGAGCTGTTGTACGGAACAATGTTGATTACACTTCAGGTTTAATAACCTGCACTATTAACAATGTTGATAACACAAGCAATAGCGCCCTATCTGATGTCTCTTCTTCCCAGTTTCAGATCACTGCCTCTAACCAGACGAAGTGTTCGTTACAAAAAACCGTTATCTCTTTAACTTTTGAAGTAAAGCCCTGGCCAGTAAGGGTTTCTGGGCTCGTCTAAATTTCTTCGAAGTATAAAATTATCTGCATTGATCTGAAACGAATTATTAAGATAACGGACTACCTCATATAAGGCTTGGTCAAATTGTTTATGTCCCCAGAATCAATCTCACCACTCTGGACAAAAGGTTTTTCAACTTTGTTCTGAGATCTTTGCTCCAGTAATTGGTAATGTTGTAGGTTTATAACCTACCAAGACTCGTCGACGGTCTTGTCGTAGTATTCGGAACAAATATTTTACGAGTATCACCTGTTAAATCCAATGTACTAAATAAAAGAATTTGTAATCAAAATAATTGTAGCAACATTTAAATAAGAACCATGTCAGCTGTAAGTACAACTACAATTTCAGTATAAATGAAATTATGAAAATAAAAGAAATCCTAAAACCGTCAGTAAAATAGAAATATTTGCTTCGCATCAGTTTGAAAACGATACATGAACTAATATAGTCACACTGCCACCATATTCAATATTCGATCCCAGCCACACCAAATGATTCAAATAACGACTAAAACACCACAAATAATACATTTATTCTTGCGGATGAAGGGTGCGGGCGAACATGGCACATGCACTCATATACTCCCAGGAGTCCCCCGAGGTTTAGTATAAAGCGGTGTTTTAAGTCTAGTAGGGGTCACTGTCACTGACGCCGGCCTGAACGGGGAACCTATCTTAACTGGAGTAGTTAACATTGAGTTCATAGTTAGGGGAGAGTCCCACTGAGACGAAGTGGATTTGAGACGTCTGTAGCTGGCGGTGGTTAGGAAGACGATCCCAATGACGATTAGAAGGACGAGGAGTCCCAGGACGACAGTGGGGAGGAGAGTGCTGATAAGTTCGGAAAACTCCAGTTTGATGGGAGGTGGAGTTAGGTCGGGTTCTGAGGGTGTTATCAGTACTTCGTACACTTCCTCCTGACCTGTTGGAGCAGAGTTAGAGACTAACATACTGAAGTTATTAGTTTTAAGATTTTACCGATTAATTTGATGAAAGGTGCGAGGAAAGAGTTTGGTGTTTTTACCAGCAGTTTCTAGCGAAACAAAACAAAGCAGCTAACCCAAGACCCAAGTACTAACCAGAAGTAGGACAGAGAAAAGTGAGAGAATGGACAGCCTGGGTGTTCCAGTTGAGCAGGGATAGGTGGAAGTGAGACGAGGTTTTAATAATGTTCAGATCACCGCCAGCTCTGTCGTCTAACGTCACCTGAACAAGGTTCCAGCTTTGAGCTAGTTTGTAATTTTATAAATAAATATAAAATTATATAAATATAAAATAATAGACTGACCCGACGGTCACTGCGTTGCCTGGGGAGTGGCGTCATGTTTCTCTATGCTAATGTTTTGGAGAATTGGCTACCTAGAAAATATCGGATTGTGCGAAGCAAAACTTTAAAAGGCAAAACATAGTGGTTCCCCCTAGTCTATGATATTTACCTGAACAAGCGAAAAGTCTCCCTCCACAAGGAAGATATCAGTAGTAGGACTCTCTGAAGAGAGAGAAGTCTTCTTTCCAGATAACTTAAAACCTGTAGAAAGTTATGAAACTTTCAGTTAGTGGTATGTTAAAGTGTCTGTATCTATTATTAGTACGGTCTACCAAGATAATCTCTAGTCACGATGTGTGATGTCATTACACGTGTTCTACTCGAACAAAAAATAATTGTTTCTGGAGGTTAAAAATGTAAGGGCAAGTTTTACTCACGTGATACGAATGGTATCTGGATAGAGCTGGATACAGCACCCTTTACTTTTACAGTCACCAGCGGAGATACGGTCGATACAGCTGCAAAAAATAATCGGTTAGATCTGCTGAATAAGTGGTTTAATTGGTGGTTTTGTAACTAATATGATACTTAAGTTTCTCACTTTCTGTCCCCTTCTCTCTTTCTCTCTTTCTGTCTCTCCCTCACAGCCTTACCTTACATTCCGTAATTTTTAATTAAGTTTGAGTGTGTTCTTTCACTCTCACTGGTAATATTTCATAATTTTGTTTGAGGTATGTACATTTTACTTCGGTCACTTGAAATTGCTTTTTTTCGGAGGCCTTGGTGCTGGTTTCGACTGAGCGGGTTCATACTTTTGCAACTTCTTAACTGCCAAAATTGTTACACTAGTTGGCCATTGTATTGGTAGACACAATCTTAGAAAAATACTGCTAAATTGCAGTATTAAATTGCAGTACCTATTAAATTACAGTATTACATGTTCATATTAAATACGCAAACGATAGTTATCTTGTACGCCATGCTCCCGGAAATTATTAGACTGAAAATAGTCCTAATTTCAAAGAAATGTTTTCCCCCATCAACATTTTATGATTAAAAAGGCAACAGGATCGATGCGATGGTAGATTAAAATCTATAACTAAAGAAAACGGGAGAAATTCTTGTAAAGTACCCTCTTTGGAGGATGTGCGTGACTCGTCCAAGTTTGTGGGATAAGATAAAGGTAATTTAAATCAACTTAAAAATTGGCCGTAGATTTACTTGATACTTCTGATAACGTAATTTTAAAATTAAACGAAACTTTATCTTGATTTTGAAGACCTCCGATATTCGAGAATTGATGATATTTTCACTAATAAAACGATTTTGTAAACTAGAATTATACCATATACAGGGAGTACCACGTACAGAAAGTGTGACTTTTTTGATCACAGTGCTGGCAAGCACGACCGTTGCATTTATTGTGGGTATACTATGTTCCCCATTTACTATTATACCCCCTTTACTATTATACCCCCTTTACTATTAAACCCCCTTTGGTACACGTTACAAGCCTCTTTTGTGCACGCGAAGCGTGCACTCCGGCCGGAGGCGGCGGCCGAAGGCCGCCGCCTCCGGCAGGAGTTTTCCAGGCATTAAGACTCATCGGAAGTCGTTCAGCAGATTTATTTTTAGTTCAAAACATTCTAATTTGATGTCAAAGATGACAGGAATAAAAAATAGTTATGTTGAGATTTTAAAGAAATTTGCATAAAATACTCGCCAGCACTGTTATACGAAATCCGGTAAAAAACCCAAAATCGCCATATTCAGGTGCCTTAAAAACCATGTTAAAATTGAGTTAGAGATCTGAAATTTTTCAGGGCGTCTAGACGTTGACCAAATCGACTGCAAAAAAAGTTTCAGGTTTTAGGAGCATCGGGAAATGGGTTTTCTAGAACCCCTGTTTTACGATAGATTGTCGTGATACATATATACATATATATATTCAGGGATAGACGCTTTGCCAGTCAATTGTAGCCTGTATTTAAGTGTCCATAGATTCAAAAGTATAAAAGATACAGCCATTTCCGACCACAGGTCTTGCAAATAATTGTTTACACTTTAGTTTACATTGTATACAAAAATTATTTGACGTCATAAACACCCCTTGATGACGTCATCAAGTTAACCGTTTTTAAAACTTGATTTTTGACAAAGTAATAACTTTTAAAATTAATTTTAAACCATTAAGAAGTAATTTTATTCAAATCTGAGGAAATTTTTACCTTAGATAATTGTTCAAGCATTCTGAAAATCTACCGGAAAGTTTTTCTAGCTTGCTCCTTCATAAAGATATTCGTCATTGAAGTTTGTGCTTTTTTTGAAGAATTATTTTATAAAAACGTCAATTTTGCGATTTAGTATTCTCTGGTGTTGGGCCATGCCTTGGGTTGTGGAGCTCAGTTCTGCTTCCTATAGGTATAAATTGTGCATTAGGCTAGTTTTAAAGTTGAAAATCGAAAAGTTGCTCACGTGGGGACACGCCCAAATTGATAGAAAATTACTAAAATCACTGAAAATTGCTGTTTTCGTCATTTTCTGTCAACTTTAGAGTGCCGTTGTGATTACAGTTCTTCTTGAAATACTTTGAAACTTTGCATGCTAATCAAGCTATATATAAAACAATTACATGCAAAATTTTACAGCGATTCAGTATTGGATGCGCACGCAACGTCCGCTCAAAGTTTGCACGTGCGAAAGGTGAAAATTTTGCTCATTCATGATTTCCAACAAATTCTGCTTTGCCACGACAGTTTAATGTCATTATATATGAATTTAATGCCAACTTGAATGAGTATTAAGTGGTATATTCTGTCAGTGATCGACCGATATGCTTCCCTAAACACAAGAAAATGTTTTTGAAGGAAAAATTTCGAAATCGTTGAAACTTCCTCCTTATTAATGAAGATATCAGTTTATATTTCGACTTTATAAAGTACCCTGACATTATAATCAAAAAGAAATGATATTTTACCAAAACCCATAATCATGGGTAGAGTGGACCGCTGCCAGTGTCTCTCTTTCCCAAACAAAAGGAAATGATATTAATTTGATTGACCGTTCTCAAATGCAAAATGATACCGAGAATGAAATCGGTCGCTCGCTTTTCCCATTCATTTACAATTGTATAATAGATTAAGAAGAACTACCCAAAGGCAGCTGTACTCGGCAATGAAGATTCAATAAACTTCAACTTGTTCAATAAGTAATAACTACCACCCTTGTCCCTTACCCCGAAATACTAGGTATCGACCCGAACGCAACCCAAAGAGATTTTTACAGCATCTGATTGATGAAATCAATCGAAACTTATTTATACAATTCGTAAGCCGTGAATGAATGGGAAAGCGAGCGACCGATTTCATTCTCGGTATCATTTTGCATTTGAGAACGGTCAATCAAATTAATATCATTTCCTTTTGTTTGGGAAAGAGAGACACTGGCAGCGGTCCACTCTACCCATGATTATGGGTTTTGGTAAAATAAATGATACAAAATATTATATTATGAAGGAGCAGTTGCTAAAAACTCTACATCACATTGTGTACGAGGGACCATATTGTCTAACAAAACTTCATACCGACTACCGAGCAGTGATATAACTTCATACCACTCTTCTCCAAACTCAACACAAGGTTTGGAAGTAACAAGATACTGGATCTGCGGATCCGAAACCTCGTGATGATATGTAATAGTTGTAAGATAAGAGAAAATTTTATATACCTTAACTGGAGTGATTTTATCGTGACATACCATGCAGTTGCACAACTCGTGATGTTATGGAATTGGTATGTGCGCTGTGTTTCAGTAGCCGGCCTCTGCAGTCTACAGTCTGCTATTTGTTTAGTCCTTTTAATTCTGGTAATCTTTTATTATTTTAAAACTTAGATCAACACTTAATTTATTTTTAAAGATCACAATTCTGACATAAATGAATACTATCGTCACAGACGATAGTATATTGCGAAACTTTTCAATTTGCAGTTTCTGAAGAAAAACAACTCTGTTTTATATCGAAAAAAGTTATCAACTCCATTTTTCACAATCACTCTGCCACTGGTTTACGCACACCTTACTTTGTAATATTTGTAATAGTAATATAATATTTGTGATATTATGTTGGTAATTAAAAGTAATTAAAAGAATTCAAACTGCCATAAATGAATACTATCGTCACAGCCGACATGGTTGCAAAACTTTTCAATTTGCAGTTTCTGAAGAAAAACAACTCTGTTTTATATTGAAAAATTAAAAAGTTATCAACTCCATTTTTCACAATCACTTTGCCACTGGTTTACGCACACCTATGTAATATTTGTAATACAATATTTGTGATATTATGTTAGTAATTAAAACTAATTAAAAGAATTCAAACTGCCATAAATGAATATTATCGTCACAGCCGACTTGGTTGCAAAACTTTTCAATTTGCAGTTTCTGAAGAAAAACAACTCTGTTTTATATTGAAAAAAGTTATCAACTCCATTTTTCACAATCACTCTGCCACTGGTTTACGCACACCTTACTTTGTAATATTTGTAATAGTAATATAATATTTGTGATACTATGTTAGTAATTACCAACATAAAAGAGCGCAAAAATGGGTCAAATAAGTAACGTTTTCATCTTAAATATTATGGTTTCAAATAGTATCAATCAAACGGCATTGCGCCGCATAACTAAATCCTTATATTTTAACTTTCTAGCTGGTCATGGTTATAATGGATAAGGACCCAGTGGAACTGGGCTACAAGAACGTAGGAAAGAAGACGGCGATGGATGAAAGGGACTTTTGTTTGCGGGGTTTCTGATACTGATGGAGGGAGTTGGGGCACTTATGGGGATGATGACGGCACCTGGCGGAGCAGAACATGCTAGATTGAATTGACCATTGTTAATGGTCTGGCCTGGCGCGCGCTACTTCGTAGCACTTGCCATCGGGCCATTTCGAGAAAAAAGCGGCGCGCGCTACTTCGAAGAAATTTAGACGAGTAACATCCGTCAATAGATTGAACAGTTTAAATGTTATCAATCTGTGAATTTTTAATCTGTGAAATTTTGAACAAATTTTTGAAAAATTTCGTGCTTCTAAAATTAATTTTGGTACTAAAAGTTGCGTCTGACTACAGACTAAGCTCATTACGATCCTGTAAGAATTATTTCAACATATTCAATATGTTAGGAGTCCCACATACAGCTCGACGTTATCGTGCTACACGGTTAATTTTCATTATTCACACTTAGAGGCAACTTTTGGTACCAAATTTATCGAAAATCAGAGACAACAAATTCTGTGCCAGCTCATGGCGCTTATTACATAGCAGTGCCGTAGCGATGAAAAGTTTGAAAATTAGTTAGAAATTTTCAGAAAATGTGTTATTGGACTGCCGATCTGGGGAGCAACCTAGGGCCCTCTATATATTCATGCCCATTGTAGGCTGCATCCCCGATCCCCGAGACTTCGTCTTACTTTCGTCTGGTTTCCACTCTCTCTTCATACCAAGTTACTAGCTAGGTAACAAGGTAATCGAGGAGACAGTTTTCAACGTAACAACGATTTCAGCCGGTTCGGACAAATCTTTGTTCTACCAACTGAACAACAAATCAGTGCACTGCCATCTGTACGCGTCCTCACACACTGTTCTTAAACCAGAGTTAGCTTTATACCAACATAGTTCACGAAATATTTACTTGTATGTACCCCTAATCATCGAATTACCAGCCAATTTCACGCTATTACAACTCCCTGCAACTCCACTGCAACTCCGAGAGCTCTTAATTACGCCTTATATGGTGCGTAATTGCCTCTGCATAATAGCTCAATATCACGCGCTATATATCCAACCAGTAAACGCGCTCAATCGATATCTCGTGACTGTCACGTGACAGCTATCCAAGGAAATTCTCTATATGGCGCCTCCGGTGTAAACTAGGAAAGAGCTAGTTTGAGCTTTAAATAGGCGGGATATTTAATATTTATTAACTTCTACCATCACCCAAGCAGGTTACGGTGGAGCTGAAAGTTAGCCTGTGTGAGATCGCTATTCCTGCGATATCAGACGAGAGCACGCTTCACACATTCTGGCGAGCCTCCCTTTACAGAAGCACTCTTATGGAATTGAAGTAAAGAAGTACTTATACTTTACGTGTAACAGATGGTTAGCCAGATCGTCCGGGAGCTGATCGCTACGTATGAAAACGTAGCTCTGCAGAAGGTGGGCCTCTATTTGAACTGTGTGGGGTTCAGAGCTGTCGTACGGAACAATGTTGATTACACTTCAGGTTTAATAACCTGCACTATTAACAATGTTGATAACACAAGCGATAGCGCCCTATCTGATGTCTCTTCTTCCCAGTTTCAGATCACTGCCTCTAACCAGACGAAGTTTTCGTTACAAAAAACCGGAAATCGTTATCTCTTTAACTTTTGAAGTAAGGCCCTGGCCAGTAAGGGTTTCTGGGCTCGTCTAAATTTCTTCGAAGTATAAAATTATCTGCATTGATCTGAAACGAATTATTAAAATAACGGACTACCTCATATAAGGCTTGGTCAAATTGTTTATGTCCCCAGAATCAATCTCACCAATCTGGACAAAAGGTATTTCAACTTTGTTCTGAGATCTTTGTTCCAGTAATTAGTAATGTTGTAGGTTTATAACCTACCAAGACTCGTCGACGGTCTTGTCGTAGTATTTGGAACAAATATTTTACGAGTATCACCTGTTAAATCCAATGTACTAAATAAAAGAATTTGTAATCAAAATAATTGTAGCAACATTTAAATAAGAACCATGTCAGCTGTAAGTACAACTACAATTTCAGTATATAAATGAAATTATAAAAATAAAAGCAATCCTAAAACCGTCAGTAAAATTGAAATATTTGCTTCGCATCACTTTGAAAACGATACATGAACTAATAGTCACACTGCCACCATATTCAATATTCGATCCCAGCCACACCAAATGATTCAAATAACGACTAAAAACACCACAAATAATACATTTATTCTTGCGGATGAAGGGTGCGGGCGAACATGGCACATGCACTCATATACTCCCAGGAGTCCCCCGAGGTTTAGTATAAAGCGGTGTTTTAAGTCTAGTAGGGGTCACTGTCACTGACGCCGGCCTGAACGGGGAACCTATCTTAACTGGAGTAGTTAACATTGAGTTCATAGTTAGGGGCGAGTCCCACTGAGACGAAGTGGATTTGAGACGTCTGTAGCTGGCGGTGGTTAGGAAGACGATCCCAATGACGATTAGAAGGACGAGGAGTCCCAGGACGACAGTGGGGAGGAGAGTGCTGATAAGTTCGGAAAACTCTAGTTTGATAGGAGGTGGAGTTAGGTCGGGTTCTGAGGGTATTATCAGTACCTCGTACACTTCCTTCTGACCTGATGGAACAGAGTTAGAGACTAACATACTGAAGTTATTAGTTTTAACATTTTACCGATTAATTTGATGAAAGGTGCGAGGAGAGAGTTTGGTGTTTTTACCAGCAGTTTCTAGCGAAACAAAACAAAGCAGCTAACCCAAGACCCAAGCACTCACCAGAAGTAGGACAGAGAAAAGTGAGAGAATGGACAGCCTGGGTGTTCCAGTTGAGCAGGGATAGGTGGAAGTGAGACGAGGTTTTAATAATGTTCAGATCACCGCCAGCTCTGTCGTCTAACGTCACCTGAACAAGGTTCCAGCTTTGAGCTAGTTTGTAATTTTATAAATAAATATAAAATTATATAAATAATAGACTGACCCGACGGTCACTGCGTTGCCTGGGGAGTGGCGTCATGTTTCTCTATGCTGATGTTTTGGAGAATTGGCTACCTAGAAAATATCGGATTATGCGAAGCAAAACTTTAAAAGGCAAGACAGAGTGGTTCCCCCTAGTCTATGAAATTTACCTGAACAAGCGAAAAGTCTCCCTCCACAAGGAAGATATCAGTAGTAGGACTCTCTGAAGAGAGAGAAGTCTTCTCTCCAGATAACTTAAAACCTGTAGAAAGTTATGAAACTTGCAGTTAGTGGTACGTTAAAGTGTCTGTATCTGTTATTAGTACGGTCTACCAAGATAATCTCTAGTCACGTGATGTCATAACACGTGTTCTACTCGAAGCTGCTTAAAAAATAATTGTTTCTGGAGGTTAAAAATGTAAGGGCAAGTTTACTCACGTGATACGAATGGGATAGCATCTGCTGGCCAGATCGCTACATGGTAAGAATATGGGGGTACATTTGTTGTTTAGTTTGGGATAGCATCTGCTGGCCAGATCGCTACATGGTAAGAATATGGGGGTACATTTGTTGTTTAGTTTGGGATAGCATCTGCTGGCCAGATCGCTACATGGTAAGAATATGGGGGTACATTTGTTGTTTAGTTTGGGATAGCATCTGCTGGACAGATCGCTACATGGTAAGAATATGGGGGTACTTTTGTTGGTTTAGTAGCATCTGCTGGCCAGATCGCTACATGGTAGGAATATGGGGGCTCATTTGTTGTTTTAGCATCTGCGGGACAGATCGCTACATGGTAAGAATATGGGGGCTCATTTGTTGTTTTAGATAGCATCTGCTGGCCAGATCGCTACATGGTAAGAATATGGGGGTACATTTGTTGGTTTAGTAGCATCTGCTGGACAGATCGCTACATGGTAAGAATATGGGGGCTCATTTGTTGTTTTAGATAGCATCTGCTGGCCAGATCGCTACATGGTAAGAATATGGGGGTACATTTGTTGTTTTAGTAGCATCTGCTGGCCAGATCGCTACATGGTAGGAATATGGGGGCACATTTGTTGTTTTAGATAGCATCTGCTGGCCAGATCGCTACATGGTAAGAATATGGGGGTACATTTGTTGGTTTAGTAGCATCTGCTGGACAGATCGCTACATGGTAAGAATATGGGGGCACATTTGTTGTTTAGTTTGGGATAGCATCTGCTGGCCAGATCGCTACATGGTAAGAATATGGGGGGTACATTTGTTGTTTTAGTTTAATTTTTAAGTTTTAGAGGTTGGCCAGTGCAGAGTATTTCTCAGTAATATTCAGTTAGATTTAGCAAGCTGATTTTCATGACGATTTGTCATGTTTTATCGTGATTCCAAAGAGAATACTGTACTGATTTTATATAACCCGCAGGTACAAAGATCTGGTGAAGCCATCCTGGAACCCACCAAACTGGCTCTTCGGGCCCATGTGGACTACTCTATATTTCCTGCAGGCCGTCTCTGCTTTCATGATCTGGAAGAGCATCGGATTCAAGAAGGTATTTTGCTCGTTTTTTTTGGCTAGTTTTCTTGGCTTATTCATCCGGCTGGTGAAAATTAATGCTCAAAGGTACATGGTGATTGAAATGTTTGAAGGTGTCCTATTCTTATTAAAATATATCTACATCAGACTATTTGCTTCTCTCATGATAACTTCTTAACCTACAGGCTCTGCCTTGGCTCCTATTCTTCACTCAGTTGGCCCTGAATTTTGCTTGGACTCCCATCTTCTTCATAGCTCACCAACTCCTTTGGGTGAGCGTTATAAGAAATCTTAAACGTTTTTTATGAACCCTGATTATAACAGTGTGTGATACACACTCTCTGGCTCGTAGGATTAACCCCCCTACAGCTAGTATAGCGCCTCGGCACAGAGTGGCTTCGGGTTACTGAAAAGGAGATAAGAACCTCAGGCCATCCCAACGTTCGGGAGAGACCTGCCCTTGTTGTTGTTGTTGTTGATTATAACATTGTTGTGAATTGCTCGTAGAATCAAGATTAACAGACAAAACTTCAGGCATCAGTGGAAAGCACATTCCAAGCATTCTTTATCCTGTTCACGATAACGATATTCGGTGACATAAACAAGACAGCAGGTCTTCTCTTGTTGCCTTACTTGGCCTGGGTTACCTTCGCTACTTACCTTTCCTTCACCATCTGGCAACTGAACCCTGAAACTCTGGGATTGTGGATCATATTCCATTGATGTGGGGCACTAATGGGCACTCGGATAATGGGGCACTCGGGTATTCGGGTAACCTGTTGCAATTTCAATCCAGGTTCCAGAGTGTAGGCGGATTAATTTTTTTGCAGAGAGATGGATCGGAACAATGACAGTATTGGACTGCTTGGTGATGTTGTGTGCTTTTATGTTTTAATATTTGCTAATGTTAAAAGCCGAGACCGAATTTTTATTTTGAAGTTTTAAGAGGCTGTTTTGAGTGAACATTGAAACTTTTTTTCGTGACCCAACAAATGAGGATGTTTTAAAACTCGTTTCCAAATTTTGAGTGCCGCTCAAAATTTAAGAAATGAGGCTGTTAAAATTATTGTAACTTGTAGCTTATGTATTACAATTTAAGATTAAAATAAAATTCATCATAAACATGGTAAATATTTCTGTGATATCTTGCTCCTATCCCTTTAAACAGAGATTATATCTCGTATAGTAGCTACTCCACCGCGGCTGGCCGCTGTTATTATTACTGTGACTGATCAGACTCAATACAATATCTTAGTTGCCAACAGAACAAAATATTTGTAGTTGTTAGTCACGTGACATACAGTTATATCTGCCAAGGCAACCTGTGTAATCATCATAATTGCTTTCGCTATCTTAGGGACGTTCCGTGTCGTTATAGTACACACTGCACGTATAGATATATTGAGCGATACAGTTTTCAAAAAGATCTTGCTCAAGCGGGCTTCTACGCTTATTGCACTGCAAATCCTAAATTTGATGAAAATTTGGCAAAGACAAGCTTCTTAATTAATTAAGATACGATCTTTAGTAAATACTGCTATAACTGTTTAGGTCTGTGGCTAAATTCATTGGAATTTGCATCGAATTCTGTCACTTTGTGGCTGTTGAAACTTAAATAGTTATATAGTTATATAGTTTTAACATAGTTATAATATAGTTATAATATAGTATATAGTTATAATACAGTTAATTTGTCTACGACGCGGACGTGGTCAGGTGGTATCACATTTAACCAACTGATCGCATTTGATTTGATAATCATAAGTTTAGCTTCAAGTGCCAAAATCTGTAAAATATGAAGCGTTATGGTATGCGGGGGAACCTGACAGTTGGTGTATAGTGTATAGTGTATAGTGTATAGTGTATAGTGTATAGAGTATAGTGTATAGTGTATAGTGTATAGTGTATAGTGTATAGAGTATAGTGTATAGTGTATAGTGTATACTGTATAGTGTATAGAGTGTATAGAGTGTATAGTGTATAGTGTATAGTGTATAGTGTATAGTGTATAGTGTACCGTACACAAATTAATGTGTAACTCAGACACGTGTAAATTTATACGTACTACGCACGTGTACAGCAACTATCAATTATTACGCAGAGTTTTAAGAGATACTGACGACAAGTTCTAATGTTTCACTTATCTTAGCTGTTGTTATCAGTGTACAACTCTATTACATTTTCTAGAGTTATTTCGGGATCTATTGATTGGGATTGATTAAAAATGTGATAAGTGTGTGTATTTAATTTGTGGTGTCAGAACTTAATCCCAGCAAAACAAAGTTGGATATTATATTTGTCTTTCTTCATCTTTATTTTGATGTCTTAAATCTTTAACCTTTTAATTTAGTATTACAACTTACAAGTAGAACAGATAGAAAGCGGTAACGGGTCCGATACAGAGCAGTAGGTTCGCCTGATTGCACAGGAATTAGGTCAATTTAATGGCAAATTATAGGTACTTAAAGGAAAGCATAAATCAGACCAGTCAGTAACCAAGAAGCCTAATGTCTGTAACCCTTGACTTAGTGGTCTCGAGCTTCTTGGCTAATGCCTAAATCCAGACATGAATCATGGCCATTTACAAATTTGCGGTAAAATTTACAGTTTGTAAATTCTGCTGTTTGTAGATTCTACTGCTTAGCTTGTATTTTGAGGATATTAGTTGACGCTGTAGCGAATCCAGTTTATAACTTTTATAGTTTACAAAACGAAAAATCAGGAATGAACAAGGAGCTAGTTATTTTGACGGGACCTATGTATTCTGTATATTATAATTGCAATAAAAGATGTAACAGATGATATTATTGTTTGTTTTGTCTAGAAATTGGCCCCAAACAGGAACAGTACATTCGTTACTAATGCACTGCACTATCTTATCAATAGTATACTGTATGTGCTATATTGTGCAATACACAATCTCCGTGTACCACTGATCCTTAGTGTAGAAAAAGGTGCGGAAACTGCCTCAAGGGTGTGACACTGAGTGTATCTATACTCTTTGAGGTGATCTAAATATTTATATCATTTAGCTATAGATTAAGGAGAGACTATTCCGTTAACATAGGTTTTTGTATGAGTGTGCACTGTGCTTGGGGATTGTTCGAATATTACGAGCGCCTTTTTTTGGGCATTTTAGACCTCCTTCCCCATAAGCCACTTTACACATCAATATTCATTGAGTCTGAGCATTATAGAGTCAAACGTCTCTACACCGTGCCTCTTCAGTCTTCTTTCCCTCAAAACTTTTAGTTAATTAACTTAGCTTTTAGTAAACTTTTAGTTAATTAGTAGCTCGTTTTGTGCAAGAAGTTTTAAAGTTAATTAAGTGTGACTTTTATAGCTCATAACGCATTTTGGTTGGTGATTTGAGTACACATCGAGCTGCATTGCAACACAATACGACACAATACGTCCATAGTTGCCAACTTATTACTTACATTATATGATATGAAGGAATACGAAGATACAAAAAGTTCCTATAATACCGTATCATTATCCGCGCGAATTCCAGCCTTAATCTGAACTCTGAAGGAATGTTGAAAGGCAAAAGCACCTGAGTAGACAAAGTATACCAGATGCTTTATAATTTATGTGCAAATTAATGACACGGATATTAAATGCTCTGATTTACGTCACGAAGTGACCACGTCAGTAATATTATTTATTTACGGATAACAGTAAAGTGTCTGCTGCCCGATTACTACAGCTCGAGGTCACCAAGGCGTCACTAAAGAGCGACAAGGTTTATTACTTTATTGTGATTATACATGGGCAGTGTCAAATGCAGACTTAGGTCACTATGACAACGACCATGATAACTATATGCATTGTGGCAACCCGTAGATTACTTGTGACTGTGTAAATTATACAATAGTCAATGCTGGATAGTATTGTAATTTATACAATAGGTATTCTGACGACTTTTAGTGCAATGCAGCAGTTCAAATTGGACCAGGATACCATTACTAAATAGTTCCTTCTGATAGTACTACATATTACATATTACTAGATACCTGTTCCTTCTGATAGTACTACATATTACTAGATACCTGTTCCTTCTGATAGTACTACATATTACTAGATACCTGTTCCTTCTGATAGTACTACATATTACTAGATACCTGTTCCTTCTGATAGTACTACATATTACTAGATACCTGTTCCTTCTGATAGTACTACATATTACTAGATACCTGTTCCTTCTGATAGTACTACATATTACTAGATACCTGTTCCTTCTGATAGTACTACATATTACTAGATACCTGAATCTGATAGTACTACATATTACATATTACTAGATACCTGTTCCTTCTGATAGTACTACATATTACATATTACTAGATACCTGTTCCTTCTGATAGTACTACATATTACTAGATACCTGTTCCTTCTGATAGTACTACATATTACTAGATACCTGTTCCTTCTGATAGTACTACATATTACTAGATACCTGTTCCTTCTGATAGTACTACATATTACTAGATACCTGTTCCTTCTGATAGTACTACATATTAGTACTACATATTAGTAATATACTACATATTAGTACTACTGATAGTACTACATATTACTAGATACCTGAATCTGATCGCCGCTGATCGTCGCATTCCAATAACATAATATAACCCGTACAAGTAAATTCTGTAAACGAGCTTGTAATTCCTAAGCGATTATCCCAAATATAGGATTAGATCCTGGGTTTTACAACACAGCCTGTAATTACCACCTACATAAGCTGCAGTGAGCGGTGAGCGGTGAGCGGTGAGCAGTGAGCAGTGAGCGCGGGTTTGTTGGTCATCTGTTCGTTAGCTGTGTTATTCAGTCAATAACCGGGAAATTGTCGGATGTAGACCAGTGAAATTTGCTGCTTGTTGCTAGTGATCTTGTTGTGTGCGATATTGTCTTTGATTTTAGTTTTACTTTGTATGAAAATTATTTCTATAATTTAGGCAATGCAAACACAGTTAGTTGAGCAATTTCGTTGTTACTTTCACGTGGCAAGCTAAAAGCTTGGCAAAGAATCTGCTAATCTGTATTGTTTAACTCTGTGTGAGAAGTATTTGTTTGAAACTGTTATTAATTTTGGTTTGAGTAAAATCATATTATATCGCCCGACTTTTATTGGACAGATGAAGAAGATCGTTTGCTATTTCAAGATAAGCATATCGTATGGAAACACAGGCTACATATGGTACGGTATTAACCATGATTTATAGTAACATTTAATATCGGACGTTTTGACAAATATAACTCATATTTCTTGACATGTTTGGGCTATGTTGTTATATAACCAGCCACCAAGTTAGTAATCATGTTAGTAACCAAGTAAGTGATTAGTAACCAGTTTACTGTTATGATCCTTTAACAATCCTGCAGGTACACCATAACTACACCCTCTCCAGAATCCTTATTCTCAGTGGGGGAGATGAAATCTCTAAAGTTTACCACTCCTGCTATACACAGCATAGTACCCAGCCAATACTGCAGCGGAGGTAAGTTTACTACTCCTGCTATACACAGCATAGTACCCAGCCAATACTGCAGCGGAGGTAAGTCTCTAAAGTTTACCACTCCTGCTATACACAGCATAGTACCCAGCCAATACTGCAGCGGAGGTAAGTTTACCACTCCTGCTATACACAGCATAGTACCAGC